AGTAGATGCCCCTACTACCATCCCTTCATTTATGACAACCATTAATGTCTTTAGACATCACCAAATATCTTCTAGGGCACATGTGTCAAACACAAGGCCCGCGGGCCAAATCCGTCCCGCCAGGCCTTGCAATGTGGCCTGCACCGCGCTGTCATCACTGCACTCCGCTGCATTTCCATCACAATGACAGTTTATGACTGTTCAGTAAACCATTCGGCCCGCGATTTAGGCTGGATTTTAGATTTTGGCCCCTTCTCTGATTGAGTTCGACACCCCTATTCTAGGGTATGAAGGGAGAAGAGGAGAGCCACTAATTTAGATCTACCTAAACATTTAGCCTTTTGATTATCTTTATTCTTTCCAGCATCATCAGTTTTCTATAGAATTTTTTTTTTTCTGATTGACATTTTTAATTCTTTTTGTGCAGGACAACTGGTGGCCAGTTCTCTTTTTGTTTATCTGAAAATATGTTTACTCTGAAAGGCTTTATTCTCTAGATATGAAATTATAGGTTGACAAGTGTTTTTGTTCAGCATTTTGAAGATTTCATTCCAATGTCTTCTTTTTCCCATAGTTTCTATTACGTGGTCATGTGTCAATCTAATTATTTCTCCTTTCAAAGTTACTTTTTTACTGGTTGCTTTTAAAATGTTCTCTTGGCTTTGGTTTTCAGCTGTTTTACTCTGTTAACATATGATTTTCTTGGTGTGTGTGTTTTTTTTTAAAAATATTTTATTGATTTTTACAGAGAGGAATGGAGAAGGATAGAGAGCCAGAAACATCAATGAGAAACATCGACCAGCTGCCTCCTGCACATCCCCCATGGGGATGTGCCCGCAACCAATGTACATGCCCCCAACCGGAATTGAACCCAACCCCTCAGTCCGCAGACTGGCGCTCTACCGCTGAGCCAAACCGATTTCGGCGATTTTCTTTCTTTTTTTTTTTTTTTATAGCACTTTTGAACCTGTAGCGTCAGATTCATCAGATTTTGAAACTTCTAAGCCCTTGTGTCTTCAAACATTTTCTTGTTTCTCTCTCCTCTTTCTTTTTAGAACTACAATTGCATGTATGATAGTCTTATTCTTATGTCATTTTTATTTTGTACGTCTGGGTTTTTAATTTTTTAATTTTTCAATTACAGTTGACACTCAATATTATATTTGTTTCAGGCATACAGCATAGTTAGTTAAATGTTTCTATAACTTATGGTCACTCTGATAAGTCTAGCATCCACCTCACACTATACATAGTTATTGCAATGTTACTATATTGTGTGCTGCGCTATACATCCCTAGGACTATTTCGTAACTTCCAGTTTGTGCTACATAATCCTTTCACCTTTTCCCTCAGACCCCAACCCTCTAAAAGCACCTCCCATCTGACAACCATCAGTTTGTTTTCTGTACCTATGAGGTGTTTCTGTTTGTTTGTGTCTTATTATGCCTTTAATGTCTCTCTTCCTGCCTTGTATTTTTCATCCTTCTGAGATTCACTGGTTCATTCTAATTATTCTTTTAATCTGTCTTTCAGCTCACTAATTATCTTTTTAATTGTGGTTTATCTGCTGTTAAATCCACTCAGTGACATCCTTATTTCTGTTATGTAGTTTGTTTTGTAGTTTTTTGAGTTCTCAATGGGTTCTTCTTACTCTACTAAAAATTTAAATCTTATTTTTTACTTTTTTGAACATACTTATCACTTTTTTTCTGAGTATAGTTTGCTTTTTAAAATATATATTTTATTGATTTTTGTACAGAGAGGAAGGGAGAGAGATAGAGAGCTAGAAACATCAATAGAGAGAGTCATCGATCAGCTGCCTCTTGCACACCCTCTACTGGGGATATGCCCGCAACCAAGGTACATGCCCTTGACCGGAATCGAACATGGGTCCCTTCAGTCCCCAAGCTGACACTCTATCCATTGAGCCAAACTGGTTTCGGCTAATTTGCTTTTTAATTAGAACAATGTGTGTAATGACAGAATGCCCCGCCATGTGCAGATGGCTGTAGTGAATACCCAATACTGTATTCTGCCTAAGGAGGGAGGGAGGAAGGGAGGTGTGGGACTGTGAGCCGGCAGTCTGCCCCCTGTGGACCGGAGGCTGGGCCAGCTGGGGGCCTGCACTCGCCTCCTGAATGGTAAGCAACTTACCACATTTTTTTAAGTTGTGTCTGAAGACTCCATTTTCAGAATCTTCTGTAATCTATATTTCTTTAGTTATTTCTCTAGTCTGTATTTCTTTAAGTCTTGAGCCATGTTGTTGTTCTATTTATATGATTGTGGCTTTGGATTGCATAACATTGTGTATAAAAATTATGAAAATATGTTGAAGGCCTAGGATGATGTATTCTTAAGTAGTATCCTTTTATTATTATATTTACTTATTTATTTATTTATCCTCACTGGAGGATATTTTTCCGTTGATTTTTAGAGAGAAGGAAAGAGAGAGAAATACTGGTGTGAGAAAAACACACTGATTGGTTGCCTCCTGCACCAGTCCTGACCAAGGCCCGGGCAGAAGAGGAGCCTGCAACCGAGGTGCATGCCCTTGACTGGAGCCCGGGACCCTTTCGTCAGCAGGCCTGAGCTCTATCTACTGAGCCAAACCAACTAGGATGAATGTGTATTGTTTATCCCAGAAGGATTGATACCTACTTTGGGCATGAAGCTATGGGCACTACCAATTATAGATTGAGTGATGGAAGCACTTTGTGCCCCAAATCAAGCCTGGAGATTTTTCTAGCATTACCTTCCCCGCCACCCCTGCTGCTTGCTCAGTCCTTTTTCTTGCTTTTTGTTTCTTTTGCTTAATGAGGCTATTGTTGAGCTTCTCCACCTCTTCTGGACCCATAGATGCTCTGAAGGAAAGTTTCCCAGACCTCTGCATTTCAGTCCTGTCCCATATTATTATCCTATCTTGTCTAATTATCCTCAGCATATCAGTCGGTCTGATGGCCTGGCCTGCCATTATTAGAAGCAGAAGTTCCCTGAGATTCATTTTATTTCCTGCTGAAATATATCCATGTCCTTAAAAAGAATGTTGTGAGTTGTAAAACTTGAATTTTCATGTTCAGAAAATAATCTGTTTAGTTAAAAATGGAATTATTTCAAAATCATTTGCCATCAATACTTCACAGATATTATTCCATTAGTTTTTTATATCTAGTGTTATCAGTGAAAACTTTAAATTTAATCTGATTTTCATCTCTTCTTAAGAAATCTATTTTTCTCTCTATAGAAACTTTTTCATATTTTCAATTATTCAGAAGTTTTACTACAATGTATAGGGTTGGGTGGTGGTTTTTAATTCGTCCTTCTTGGGACCCTTTCATCTGACACCTCTCCCCCGCAGGCTCTCTCTGCTTACTTTTCTCCCACATCCCCATGTTCTCCGTCTTCGAGGCCTCCTCCCAGCTTCTGCCTCGGCAGTTCTTATTTTCCAGTCGAGCTATATACTCATGTGTGTATTTGTTGATCATACATCTTCTCTTATTTTTAGGGATCGGGTGAGAGGAGAAGAGGGTGTGCAATCTGCTCAGTTTGCCTTCTTGAATCTCAGTAGTTCTTTTTGTAACTTTATCGAAAAACATCATCTTCCCCTAGCCACGTTGTCCTTGGGTCATATTCTGATTTGCCGCCACTAAGGTATTATGTCAGCGAGCCCAGCCCTGCAAACTTTGTTCAGTGTATCTGCACATTAGTTACTGCAATCATTCTGAAATCTTTACTGTAAGTCATTGAAAGAAAACAGTATTAGACAACTTTTTGTAATTAGTTTTAAAAAAAAACTAACATGCAAAATGTAAGCAAGGAGCAAATCCCTTAGCTGATTGACTGTAAAAATTATAAATGTGAGTTCAGAGAGCAAGCCAGCCCTGGGAAGGAGTAACAAAAGCAGCAGGGAAGGTGGACTGGGAGGTGGGGGGAGGCCGAGGGAAGAATGCAGTAGCAGGCGAGGCCCTGCTGGAGAGGGCATCAGCCCAGGCTGGCTGGGAGCTCTGGCCTTGTGCTCTGGGTGCGGCTCCCTGCGGTGGGTCAGGGCTGGAGGGAAGTCTGGGGCCTGTTGTCCCTGTGCTGCCTGCAAACACTCACCAGCTGCCTGAGCTCACCCCATGCTGGAAACCAGCTGCTTAGTCTTTCTCTCTCTGTGTCCCAAGTTGGCCTACTTTTCCTAACCCGGAGATCTAAATAGGCATATGCAGAAATAACTGCAGAGCTCCCTTAACTTTAACAAAATTAGGATCTCAATAATCTCATTGAAATGTTCAAGTAATTTTTATGAAATGACCTCTCCATACTCATGTTATCCTTCATGCCTGCGCCTTTGTGATTTTCAGGGATTTATAGAGTTCTTCTCTATGTTTAATATTTAATAAGCAACTTTGCAATTGAGTTAATGTTTCCCGAGGTAAAGATTGTATGGCACTCTAATCACAGCAAGTATTATTTTAATCAAGTGAATTATTTTCTTAGCGCTCATTGTGTTCATCCCAACACAAATATCTGTAAACCTTGGTTCACTTACTGTTTATTTCCTTAACTTTTTTTTTAATCAGAACTCTTAAGTGAGCTCTTAAAATATTAAATTTAGAATTTTAAACTTCTACATGAAGCGGAGAGATGTCTGTTACCCTTTCACCTCACTCAGCAGGCTTAAAATGAAAAAAAGTTTTCATTAACCTTTTATGTTCTTTTAGGACTTAAAAAAAGAGAAAGCAAAAATTTCAAACTAACTACCACTTCCACTGAGCACGTAATTCTATTTAAACATATAAAAATACCGGTATATTTAATCCCAACTCCATATAGTTTGAAATACTTGAGAAGTTTTTACCCTGAGAAAAACAAGTAAACAGAATAATGCACATTTCAAACTTTAAACATCTATTAGGAAGAGCTAATTTCCTGAAATGTAAACATATTTACAACATAAAACACCCAAATATTATAACCATTCCACATGCTGTTGCAGAAACTTAAAGCAGAAAACTTTTTACCTGGAAATCTACACTAAGGAGGCTTTGCTTGGTGTCATTAAGTCTCCAGCTGAAAGTGAAACGGAAGCAGAGCTTTCTGTGAAACCAGCACAGAGGGGTGTGGAATGCCCCTGCCTCCATGGTAACGGCTAATGCTTCCCTGGGGATAAATGCCTTTCAGCACGGCTCCCAAAACCAGCCAGAGAGGAACCGGGAGCACGGTTTCCAGGGAGATGTCTGTCTGACTCACAGCAGCGCGGACACGCTGCAGCTGAGGAGTGGAGTGGGAGCACAGCAGTGAGGCCTGGTTAGGAAATCTGGTTTTCATAGATTTCCGCAGAAAAACCCTTCCCACGCCGGCCTCTGACCCGCTGGGTGCACAGGGGGGAGGAGCCGCCTCCTGGCGCCCTGAGCCGGTGGTGGCCCTGGCCCCGCGGCCTCCCTGCCGGTGACTGCACACGCAGAGCCCTGAGCAAGACCCAGAGCTGACGTGTGCATGTCCTTGTGAGCGCCACTTTGCGCCCCGAGGCAGGGAGGAGGCCTGAGCTGCGGGTCCGAGGCCTCCACCTTCCTGGGTTCCTGTCCAAGGCTTATTCCTTTGTGCGCAGGGATGGTAATTACTTTCAAATTTCTGTGCAAATACATGACTAACATGGAAGTGCCCGTCATGGGCTAGGTAACCTACTGCTTATTTCTCGTATTATTTTACATCTTTCTTGTTGAAAGTATTATATATGTCCCCTCTTTTCCCCACTGACTCCCTCCAGCCCGCCCCACCCCCGCGCCAGACCTCACCAGCCAGTCAATGATTCTCTTTCATCATCGGTGTCTCTCTCTCTCTCTCCCTCTCCCTTCCTCTCTGAAATCAACAAAAAAATAACAGATCTAGGCTGACTAGGGTTGGGGAGTGGGAGGGATGCACAGGGCACAGAGGGCCTTTGGGAGTGAGCGTTGGTGTGGTCTGATGAGGACGGACCATGTCAGTGCGCTGTCTGACCCACGCGGCCATGACGCCCAGTGCGCAGTGCACCTGCGGACCCGTCTGGGCGGTGTCCTGTGCCCTTGTTGGAAGGACGGCGCCAGTGCACCTGTGGATGCGCCTGGGCGGTGTCCTGTGCCCTTGTTGGAAGGACGGCGCCAGTGTGGGGGATGTGGATGATGAGGGGCCAGAGGCACGGGCGGACGGGAAACGGCTGCACCTTCTCAGCCCTGCGGGAGCCGGAAGTTGCTCTTTAACACACTGGCCTTGGGCAGGCCCGGAGGAGGCCCGCCTGGTCTAGGGCAGGCGGTGGGGGCGGCAGGCATTGTGCCGCGGTTCCCAGGGGCAGTGGGTAGAAGGCGGAGGACTGGCGCGGGCTTTGTGCGCTGCCTCGGCTCTGCAGCGCCAGCGCCAGCGCACGCGGGCCAGGGAGCTCGGACCGCCGTGGGCACCCTCAGACGTGCAGGAAGTGAGTGTGAAGCATGTGGCTCCCACACGTGAGCGCAGAGAGCGCCCTCCTGAGCTCCGTTGACCAGTCCGTTCTGGGTGGCCATCCGTTTGGACTCCTGGCCTACCTGAATGACGACTGTATCCAGAGTGGCCTTGGAGACCAGGTGTGAAATGACGCGTGACCGTGGCCTGGAGGGACCCTTGAAGCAGGAACCTGGCTGTGTGCGTGGTAATCGCTCCTCTTCGCCTGCGAATTCCCTCACCTCCATCAGCCCAGAGGACCTGCGGGGGGTCCTCGGCTCCCGCCTCCGCCCAGGCCCACGCATGCCTCCTCCTGCAGCGCGTGGTCAGCAAGCCCCAGACAGCCCCCGCTGCGCCCCAGTGCCTTCCTCTCTCTTGTCCTGCCCTGGCTGGTAGCCATGCTCTGGAAGCAGCCTGCTCTTCCTCCTCCTCCTCTCCATCCCCCCCAGCCCCTCGCTGTGCATCGCCCCCAGCCTTTCTCATTAAACAAGTAGAGGAGACTGATCACAGGGCGTTAGCCTGTCCATGAGCACAGACCTTCTGGTTTAAGCTCCAAACTGTTTCCTGACCTTTATGCTCTAATTGCCAACTTCCAGACCCTGGACCTCCCCCACGCCCTGCAATCGCGTCCCCAGCCCTGCAACCAACCCCCCGCCCCTCCTGGACTCCCAGGCTGCATCAGCACTATCTGTGACACATGTGTCAAACACAAGGCCCGCGGGCCAAATCCGTCCCGCCAGGCCTTGCAATGTGGCCCGCACCGCGCTGTCATCACTGCACTCCGCTGCGTTTCCATCACAATGACAGTTTATGACTGTTCAGTAAACCATTCGGCCCGCGATTTAGGCTGAATTTTAGATTTTGGCCCCTTCTCTGATTGAGTTCGACACCCCTAATCTATGAGGACTAGTCATCCTGTTCCTCAGGGTCCTGATCCTCTCTGTTCCTCAGACATGCAGGACCCACCCAAGCACTGGTTTACTGGCTCATTTTATTTATTTATTTTTAAATCAATCTTTATTGTTCATATTATTACACAGGTTCCTCTTTTCTTCCCCCCTCCACCAGGTTCCCACCCCCCATTGTCCTCATCCATAGGTGCATAGTTTATGTTCAGTCTCTTCCTCCCTCCACCACTACCCCTTTCCCCAGAACAGTCAGTCCACTCCCCTCCCATATCGCCAACTCTACTACAATGAACAGCTATTATTGTTCATCAGGTGTTTCAATCTCCTTTTTTTGTTGTTGTTGTTGTTTTTTAATTAATAAACTTTTACACTTCTAAGAATAAATTTTAAAATCTAATAATCTTAAACCTTGGTTTTTTTCTGCCCTGGGAATTGAGAAGCAAACTTCTTTACATGTAAACTTGCCCTTAGGCTATCAAAAGGTATAGCCATTCAAGTGTACATGGACACATTGTTTAAAGATAGCTGCTGGTTGGAATTGGATTACCTGTTCTGGGTGTGAAAGGCTTGTCTTCCCCTTTCTCCATTAAAATTAAGGTGTTAGCTTTAAAACCTCTTTTTGGCAAGAGACCTTAAACTTTCAGAACTTTAAATTTTTCAGATAGTAAATCAGATACTTAGCATTTTCTCAAATCAATAATGCCTCCACATGCCCAAGGATACACTTCACACAAAAGACATTTCCAAATAGATCAACCAACCTCATCCAGGCCCCAAACAAGGCACTCACAGATCAACACCCCAGCGCTATACTAACTCAACACATCCAGATCTAAGCGTTCATCACTTGATTCAGCAGACCCTCAAGTTCCCCTAAAAGATTCCAGCCATGTCTGAGGGGCAGCCTTGGGGCGGAGGCAGGCAAGGAGCGAGCTGTTCCGGGCCTGGCTGCTCCGGGCCTGGCCTCTGTTGCAGTGGTCCGTTCCACTACCAGCTGCTCCGGGTCTGGCCACTGCCGCTCCTGACCTGGTTGCTGCTGCTCCGGGCCTGGCCGCACCCGACCTGGCTGCTTCAGGCCCGGCCGCTCCGTGCCTGGTCACTCTCGGCCTTGCAGCTGCTGCTCCAGGCCTGGCCGCTCCCGGCCCGGCTGCTGCTGCTCCAAGCCTGGCCTCACCCGACCCGGCTGCTCTGAGCCTGGCTGCTCTGGGCCTGGCCGCTCCAGGCCTGGCCGCTCCCGGCCTGGCTGCTGCTGCTTTGGGCCTGGCTGCTCCCAACCCGGCTGCTCTGGGCCCGGCTGCTCCGGGCCTGGGTGCTCCTGGACTGGCCACCCTGGGCTTGGCCGCCTCTGCCTCAGGCCTGGCTGCCACTGCCCCAGGTCTGGCTGCTCCAGGCCTGGCTGTTGCTGCTCTGGTTCTGGCTGCTGCTCTGGGGCCTGGCTGTTGCTGCTCCGGGCCCAGCTGCCACTGCCTTGTGCCTGGCCACTCTAGGCCTGGGCCGCCACTGTTCCAACATTCTGTCCTTTTTTTTTTTTTTTTAACGCATTTATATTGCAATGTTGGCTGCTGAGTTGAGTTCTGACTTAGTCTTCAATTTTTCAAGATCTTCTTTGTATTCTTTCTTAAGTAATTTTACTATCTTTTGCTCTCACTTGATGTCTTCACATTGAGAACTTTGGTTTCTTCCTCCTTGTCCTGGAGGCTCAGCAGGTTGGCCTGTGGCACCCCTTTGTTCTCCGCGGGCTCCTGCGCTGCTTTAGCCTGTTGCCGGAGTCGGCGCTGCCCAGGAAGCAGCCCCCGGTCTCGGCTCCGTGGCCCGCACTCAGTGGTCGAAGGCCCAGGGGCTCCGCTTTTCGCCACTCCCCCTGAGATTCTGCCTCACAGCCCCGTCTCCCCCTGCCGGAGCCTGGGTCCCCAGGGTCTGGCCCAGAACTGGGGCTCAGCGCTGCCGGTTCTGGGGTTCAGCCCAGGCTGGGGGTTTTATTTCCTTCCTGCTAGGGAACGCCAGGCAGCACCCAGTCCTCTCCTCCTCTCCGGCTGCGTCCTCTCCACGCATGTGCGTGCGGGCGCGCAGCATGTCTCCGTACTTTAGGATTTTTCAGCTCCTCTGATTTTCCTTCTGGTTTTCTCTTTCCTTCTTGTAAAATTTTCAGTCAGTCGACTACCTGTAGCTCTGGGCAATGTCCACTCTACATTTTAGTTGTATTCCATAGAAATTGTTGTGTGCTGCTGCCGTTAGGTGTCTACCTGAGCAGCCATCTTGGATCCTCTACTGGCTCATTTTAAAATGTAATTTCATCTCTGCTTTTCAGAGCTGATTCCTTCGTTTAGGCCTGGGTGGAGAAGTGAATTTATGACATGGCCATACCGCCAAGACATGGTTGTGCTTACCCAAACCAACCTGTCTTAACGCTTGGAAAATTCTGACAGGAGTTCAAGAGTGCTTACGTTAAAGAAGAAATTTTGTATAAAGAAAACGACATTTGATATTTAGTTTCCATTATTAAAAACTACAAGAAGTCATTTTTGCCTTAAGAGTGTGCAAAGTTAAAAATGTAAGTTATCATGCCAAAATCAGTTTGGCTCAGTGGGTAGAGTGTCGGCCTGCGGACTGAAGGGTCCCGGGTTCGATTCCAGTCAAGGGCATGTACCTTGGTTGCAGGCACATCCCCAGTGGGGGGGGGGGGTGCAAGAGGCAGCTGATGATTCTCTCTCATCAATGTTTCTAACTCTCTATCCCTCTGTCTTCCTCTCTGTAAAAAATCAATAAAATATATATATTTTTTTAAAAATGTAAGTTATCATCACTTT